AATACGCATTCTACTTGTTAATATCGTTAGATTTGATTAAAAATACGCATTCTACTTGTTAATATCGTTAGATTTGATTAAAAATACGCATTCTACTTGTTAATATCGTTAGATTTGATTAAAAATACGCATTCTACTTGTTAATATCGTTAGATTTGATTAAAAATACGCATTCTACTTGTTAATATCGTTAGATTTGATTAAAAATACGCATTCTACTTGTTAATATCGTTAGATTTGATTAAAAATACGCATTCTACTTGTTAATATCGTTAGATTTGATTAAAAATACGCATTCTACTTGTTTTTGCCCGAAACGCATTGCGTAATAGTGGCTTTAGGCATTGTATGTACTAGCTCTATCTTTATATCAATCCATTAATGTAACATCACTTGTATGTATGTACCTTACCTGAATAAACATATTTATTTATTTATTTATTTAATATCGTTAGATTTGATTAAAAATACGCATTCTACTTGTTAATATCGTTAGATTTGATTAAAAATACGCATTCTACTTGTTAACATCATAAATTAAATTTGCGATAATTTGAGCAGAGAAGTTCGACGACTGGATCACTGTGTACAGAAGGTTGATATGCCAGCAAACACTTACCAGAGAACAATATATCTTGGATAAGTCGCTCCACGATATTGTTGCTTGGACCATCGACTTCCTTTGATATTACATATTTACATCTTATTTTGTTATGAAATGATATTTTTTCAGAGTAAAATTATGTTTTCTCATTTTCTGCATCCAGCATCCACATTATAGTGAGTAAATATAACATATTACTTCATTGCTTACGTAATGCTAGGAAGGTTTGAGTAGCTTTGGGTCTTTAGTGGACAGAATCTCCAATAGATGGGGCGAGAGTCGCCCCATCTCTCTCCACCGGGCGGGACTCGAAACTTAAATTAAAATTGCTATATCATTGGTCTCCAACATGATATATTTCTTTTGATGCACTCACAATAACGATTATAGCTCTGTCTTTCTGGAGGCATGTAATATTTTAGGCTTTATTAGCGTATCTTTGTTAATTACACAACATATTGGCAAGTGCGTAGGCGTCTGCACTCCATGACCGAAAAGCTACTGAACGCCACTATAAAAACATATATATCTTCACTTGAGCTTTAAATATGTCTAATGTAATGTATTTAAAATAAAGCTTATATTTCTATCTTTCTTAAGATGTGTAAAACATTTGTGTTTATTAACGAATTTACGTAAAATAAACATTCTTCTGAGAGAGTTGCTCTGTCGCTTAGTCTATGCGGGGGTCGGAGCTCGGCGATTATTAAAATACATGAATCTTCATTAGAACTTTAATTATGTCTATGATAAAGTGTTTAAAATGAGCCTTATAATCCTATCTTTCTTGAGGCATATAAAAAATTTACGATTATTTACAAATTTACGTGAAATAAGCATTGTTCTGAGAGAGAGTTGCTCCGTCGATCGATCTGTCCGGAGTCGGAGCTCGGCTATTATAAAAGTACACGTATCTTCGCTTTAAATTTAAATATGCCCATGGTAAGGTGTTTAGAACGAAGCTTATATATCTGTCTTTCTTGTGACATATAAAACTCTTACGTTTATTAAGGAATCTGCGTGAAATAGGCATGGTTCTGAGATGAATGCTGCGGTTTTCGAGCTCGACGAGCGATGAAAACTGCCACTTTTATACAACTACAAATATCTTCGGTTTTACTTAAAATATTTGTCTGGTAGAGGTTTTACATATAGATCGCGTTTCTGTCTTTCTTCTGACTAATAAATAATTTTGGTTTAATCAGTTATCAAGATGTTTTCAACAATATTCTTTCAGCGTTCGTCTTTTCCAACTTGGGCGACCCTTTTGGAAGCGCGATACTTGGGTTAACCCATCCTATAGTTGGGTTTGTTTCCAACTGGGGTTCGAATAGAGCAACTAATAATGTATTCTTGTGTAAATACCAAATACAAAATATAGAAGTTACCGCTATAAAAGTATAAGAAAACTAGAAAATTCGCTGCTAAAGAAAATGGTTTATATGCCTAACTTTAGTATTCTTCCTGTAGGACAGTTAGATTCGTACTCAAATCACAATCGAGAATTCCGGGGCGAATCCCAGGTGGGACATAAATGGTTGGGCAACTAGAGGTCCCCAACTTAATAATGAAGGAGTGAGTAACACCTGCAGGTGACCGTGGGGAGGGGGGGGGGGAGAAGGAGGAGAAGCAAGGGTCAAGAGAAGTAATGTGAGGAAGGCTAACTGTAGGGAATCAGAAGTTAGTAATTGTCTTGAGCCCCAGTTGAGAAAGCCAGGGAAGACCCGACCGCCTCATTGACTTAACTTTTAGAGCTTTTAAAAGACAGATAAATTTGATGGTACATTGATTCAGACGTCTTGCAATGGTCAGATTCCAAGGAACAGCGGTCTCACGCTCAACAAAGTACAATGCAAGATAGAACACGAGATGCCATTTATCCATAGGGTTATAAACCCATAGAACCGCCTACCCGCCGAAGCCGTAAACGCCAAAACATTGTTGAAACTCAAGATCAAGCTCAATAAGCCACCCAACAGTGCCAATAGGTGGGGATAGGAAGGCCAGTGACAAGCTGCCGGCTTCCTGTCCTCATCGAGGCCACTAGAGAGAGACAGTACCCCTCAGATAAATTCAGGTAAACCGGATCTAACCTAACCTAACCTTGAGGTGCTTCCGGGGCTTAGCGTCCCCGCGGCCCGGTCGTCGACCAGGCCTTCTGGTTGCTGGACTGATCAACCAGGCTGTTGGACGCGGCTGTTCGCAGCCTGACGTATGAGTCACAGCCTGGTTGATCAGGTATCAGGAACACCTAGCCTAGCTTGCCTACATCTTAACTCTAACTACTCAAATCAAATCAAATCAAATGTTTATTCAGGTAAAGTCCATACATACAAGGTGAGATACAAACCTTGATGGATTTATAAATAAAGCTAGTACCTACAATGCCTAAAGCCACTATTACGCAAAGCGTTACTAGTTTTTATGATATAATTTAATGACAACTTCTCTTCTATTAATTTTTCAAATCATTGGAAATGTTCAGTGTTTATCTCAATCAATGGCTTTAAGTATTTGTTATGACACTAACTGCAACTATGTTAACTTTTAAAGTACCGCAAATTCATATTGTACACTGTTTTAATGTGTTTTATTAAGTATTATTAAAACATCAGTTGGTATCTGCAGTAGAATGTACTTCCAGCGGCAGCAGCAGCAGCAACAGCAGCAGCAGCAGCAGCAGCAACAGCAGCAGCAGCAGCAGCAGGAGCAGCAGCAGCAGCAACAACAGCAGCAGCAGCAGCAGCAGCAACAGCAGCAGCAGCAGCAGCAGCAGCAGGAGCAGCAGCAGCAGCAGCAGCAACAGCAGCAGCAGCAGCAGCAGTAGCAGCGACAGCAGCAGCAGCAACAGCAGCAACAGCAGCAGCAGCAGCAGCAGTAGCAGCGACAGCAGCAGCAGCAGCAGCAGCAGCAGGAGCAGCAGCAGCAACAGCAGCAGCAGCAGCAGCAGCAGCAACAGCAGCAGCAGCAGCAGCAGCAGAAGCAGCAGCAGCAGCAGCAGCAGCAGCAGCAGCAACAGCAGCAGCAGCAGTAGCAGCGACAGCAGCAGCAGCAGCAGCAGCAGCAGCAGCAGAAGCAGCAGCAGCAGCAGCAGCAGCAGCAACAGCAGCAGCCGCAGCAGCAGCAGCAGCAGCGGCAACAGCAGCAGCAGCAACAGCAGCAGCAGCAGCAGCAGCAGCAGCAGCAGCAACAGCAGCAGCAGCAGCAGCAGCAGCACCTACAGCAGCAGGAGGAGGAGGTAGGCGTAGCACTCTGAATCAGAATGAGATCCCAGCCATGACTAATGAGAACGACAGTGTTTACTAAGAGAGGGGGTCGAACCCACAACAATGGTCAGGTGGTGCGGGTGTGTGACCACACACAGACGGGTAACTGGTGAACAGTCTCTGAAGACATCTTACAAACTGGCAATTAACTGGCCAGTAGTCTACAGATGACTTGGAGACTAGCCAGTAACTTGTACATTGCCTCTGAAGAAGAACAGGGGAAGAATCAATTATTAAGTAATTGATGAACAGTCTCTCGGTAACTATTATAAAATCATTTGTATACAGCAAGAATTGATTATTTTAATTCGATTTGTTGTTTAAATTTGATGTCAATCAAAATTTTCAGGAATACTTGAGTGCAAATTTCATATATGAGATTATTTTTAATGAGATATTATGCTGCACTTAAGTCTATTATAATGTTAATACCAGTCATTATTATACACCTGTATGAGTCATTATACAATAAGGGGTGTTGCGGAACATTATACAACAAGTGGTATAGGATTCACACCCATAAAACACACTGCAGAAGACCTGTATTGGTCCATACGAGGCAGCTCCTATTTAAATCCACCCAAACTCATTCATACATGTCTTACCTACGCTTGAAACAATCGCTCCATAGATTCACAATCAACTACCATATTCCCAAGCCCATATTTACCCAGGAATTTCCGAGCTGAATTAGAAAACGGTGAATTGATAAAAGCATTAGAAAACTCTCTTATTTCTAAACGATTATTTCTATTATATAACTCTATTAACTTTCTATAACTCTATTATTTTTAAACGATTATTTTTATTATATAACTTTATTAATTTTCTATAACTCTATTATTTCTAAACGATTATTTCTATTATATAATTTTATTAACTTTCTATAACTATTATTTCTAAACGATTATTTTTATTATATAATTCTATTAATTTTCTATAACTATTATTTCTAAACGACAAATTTAGATAACACGAAAGGAATGAGAGAATCGATGAAGGAGGAAACAAGGAAGATATAACAGAGGGAAGAAAGGTAGGGGAATTATAGATTCTCTTAGTCACTCCCCCTCTCTCACCCCCTCCCCATGAGGAAGTCATGAGTAAGGAGGCTCACCCAGCCTCAGTGTGCAGTAGGCTTGAGTAGAGAGTGTTGTCTTGTGCCGGCCGAGACTCACCGCTGAATATATACAGGTGAGTAACCCCTCGTCTCATAGCCTTATAGATCCAGCTAGACCATACTCACCTCTGGTGAGTAATCTCTCATAACATCATGCTCAAAATTTATTTTCAACTATTTTTTTGTTTAGGCGGCATTCGTGATGGACAAAATTTCCAGGTATTGGCGAATCCATGAGTGAAATTCCATATAATTCAAAATCAAATTTTTTTTTCCACCAGAAAGCTTAAATATTTCATAGACGAAATAACATTCTGCGTGAAAGGATTAACATTAGATTGTCTGCAAGAATATTTTATCGTGTAAATCGAAGTAATGGTAAGATTTATATATATATATATATATATATATATATATATATATATATATATATATATATATATATATATATATGTCGTACCTAGTAGCCAGAACGCAATTCTCAGCCTACTATGCAAGGCTCGATTTGCCTAATAAGCCAAGTTTTCATGAATTAATTGTTTTTCGACTATCTAACCTACCTAACCTAACCTAACCTAACTTTTTCGGCTACCTAACCTAATCTAACCTATAAAGATAGGTTAGGTTAGGTTAGGTAGGGTTGGTTAGGTTCGGACATATATATACGTTAATTTTAACTCCAATAAAACAAAATTGACCTCATACATAATGAAATGGGTAGCTTTATCATTTCATAAGGAAAAAATTAGAGAAAATATATTAATTCAGGAAAACTTGGCTTATTAGGCAAATCGGGCCTTGCATAGTAGGCTGAGAATTGCGTTCTGGCTACTAGGTACGACATATATATATATATATATATATATATATATATATATATATATATATATATATATATATATATATATATATATATATATATATATATATGTCGTACCTAGTAGCCAGAACTCACTTCTCAGCCTACTATGCAAGGCCCGATTTGCCTAATAAGCCAAGTTTTCATGAATTAATTGTTTTTTGACTACCTAACCTACCTAACCTACCCTAACCTAATTTTTTCGGCTACCTAACCTAACCTAACCTAAAATATAAAGATAGGTTAGGTTAGGTTAGGTAGGGTTGGTTAGGTTAGGTAGGGTTGGTTAGGTTCGGTCATATATCTACGTTAATTTTAACTCCAATAAAAAAAATTGACCTCATACATAATGAAATGGGCAGCTTTATCATTTCATAAGAAAAAAATTAGAGAAAATATATTATTTCAGGAAAACTTGGCTTATTAGGCAAATCGGGCCTTGCATAGTAGGCTGAGAAGTGCGTTCTGGCTACTAGGTACGACATATATATATATATATATATATATATGCGAACAAGCCTGAATGGTCCCCAGGACAATATGCAACTGAAAACTCACACCCCAGAAGTGACTCGAACCCATACTCCCAGATGCCACGCAACTGGTATGTACAAGACGCCTTAATCCACTTGACCATCACGACCGGACAAAATGAGGTGATAGCCGAGGCTATTTGAACCACCCCACCGCCGGCACTCGGATAGTAATCTTGGGCATAGCATTTTACCAAATCACCTCATTCTTTGGGGCACACGTGAGGAACACAAATGCGAACAAGCCTGAATGGTCCCCAGGACAATATGCAACTGAAAACTCACACCCCAGAAGTGACTCGAACCCATACTCCCAGATGCCACGCAACTGGTATGTACAAGACGCCTTAATCCACTTGACCATCACGACCGGACAAAATGAGGTGATAGCCGAGGCTATTTGAACCACCCCACCGCCGGCACTCGGATAGTAATCTTGGGCATAGCATTTTACCAAATCACCTCATTCTTTGGGGCACACGTGAGGAACACAAATGCGAACAAGCCTGAATGGTCCCCAGGACAATATGCAACTGAAAACTCACACCCCAGAAGTGACTCGAACCCATACTCCCAGATGCCACGCAACTGGTATGTACAAGACGCCTTAATCCACTTGACCATCACGACCGGACAAAATGAGGTGATAGCCGAGGCTATTTGAACCACCCCACCGCCGGCACTCGGATAGTAATCTTGGGCATAGCATTTTACCAAATCACCTCATTCTTTGGGGCACACGTGAGGAACACAAATGCGAACAAGCCTGAATGGTCCCCAGGACAATATGCAACTGAAAACTCACACCCCAGAAGTGACTCGAACCCATACTCCCAGATGCCACGCAACTGGTATGTACAAGACGCCTTAATCCACTTGACCATCACGACCGGACAAAATGAGGTGATAGCCGAGGCTATTTGAACCACCCCACCGCCGGCACTCGGATAGTAATCTTGGGCATAGCATTTTACCAAATCACCTCATTCTTTGGGGCACACGTGAGGAACACAAATGCGAACAAGCCTGAATGGTCCCCAGGACAATATGCAACTGAAAACTCACACCCCAGAAGTGACTCGAACCCATACTCCCAGATGCCACGCAACTGGTATGTACAAGACGCCTTAATCCACTTGACCATCACGACCGGACAAAATGAGGTGATAGCCGAGGCTATTTGAACCACCCCACCGCCGGCACTCGGATAGTAATCTTGGGCATAGCATTTTACCAAATCACCTCATTCTTTGGGGCACACGTGAGGAACACAAATGCGAACAAGCCTGAATGGTCCCCAGGACAATATGCAACTGAAAACTCACACCCCAGAAGTGACTCGAACCCATACTCCCAGATGCCATGCAACTGGTATGTACAAGACGCCTTAATCCACTTGACCATCACGACCGGACAAAATGAGGTGATAGCCGAGGCTATTTGAACCACCCCACCGCCGGCACTCGGATAGTAATCTTGGGCATAGCATTTTACCAAATCACCTCATTCTTTGGGGCACACGTGAGGAACACAAATGCGAACAAGCCTGAATGGTCCCCAGGACAATATGCAACTGAAAACTCACACCCCAGAAGTGACTCGAACCCATACTCCCAGATGCCACGCAACTGGTATGTACAAGACGCCTTAATCCACTTGACCATCACGACCGGACAAAATGAGGTGATAGCCGAGGCTATTTGAACCACCCCACCGCCGGCACTCGGATAGTAATCTTGGGCATAGCATTTTACCAAATCACCTCATTCTTTGGGGCACACGTGAGGAACACAAATGCGAACAAGCCTGAATGGTCCCCAGGACAATATGCAACTGAAAACTCACACCCCAGAAGTGACTCGAACCCATACTCCCAGATGCCACGCAACTGGTATGTACAAGACGCCTTAATCCACTTGACCATCACGACCGGACAAAATGAGGTGATAGCCGAGGCTATTTGAACCACCCCACCGCCGGCACTCGGATAGTAATCTTGGGCATAGCATTTTACCAAATCACCTCATTCTTTGGGGCACACGTGAGGAACACAAATGCGAACAAGCCTGAATGGTCCCCAGGACAATATGCAACTGAAAACTCACACCCCAGAAGTGACTCGAACCCATACTCCCAGATGCCACGCAACTGGTATGTACAAGACGCCTTAATCCACTTGACCATCACGACCGGACAAAATGAGGTGATAGCCGAGGCTATTTGAACCACCCCACCGCCGGCACTCGGATAGTAATCTTGGGCATAGCATTTTACCAAATCACCTCATTCTTTGGGGCACACGTGAGGAACACAAATGCGAACAAGCCTGAATGGTCCCCAGGACAATATGCAACTGAAAACTCACACCCCAGAAGTGACTCGAACCCATACTCCCAGATGCCACGCAACTGGTATGTACAAGACGCCTTAATCCACTTGACCATCACGACCGGACAAAATGAGGTGATAGCCGAGGCTATTTGAACCACCCCACCGCCGGCACTCGGATAGTAATCTTGGGCATAGCATTTTACCAAATCACCTCATTCTTTGGGGCACACGTGAGGAACACAAATGCGAACAAGCCTGAATGGTCCCCAGGACAATATGCAACTGAAAACTCACACCCCAGAAGTGACTCGAACCCATACTCCCAGATGCCACGCAACTGGTATGTACAAGACGCCTTAATCCACTTGACCATCACGACCGGACAAAATGAGGTGATAGCCGAGGCTATTTGAACCACCCCACCGCCGGCACTCGGATAGTAATCACGAATGTCCTGGATGAATAGATGTCCTGGGGACCATTCAGGCTTGTTCGCATTTGTGTTCCTCACGTGTGCCCCAAAGAATGAGGTGATTTGGTAAAATGCTATGCCCAAGATTACTATCCGAGTGCCGGCGGTGGGGTGGTTCAAATAGCCTCGGCTATCACCTCATTTTGTCCGGTCGTGATGGTCAAGTGGATTAAGGCGTCTTGTACATACCAGTTGCGTGGCATCTGGGAGTATGGGTTCGAGTCACTTCTGGGGTGTGAGTTTTCAGTTGCATATTGTCCTGGGGACCATTCAGGCTTGTTCGCATTTGTGTTCCTCACGTGTGCCCCAAAGAATGAGGTGATTTGGTAAAATGCTATGCCCAAGATTACTATCCGAGTGCCGGCGGTGGGGTGGTTCAAATAGCCTCGGCTATCACCTCATTTTGTCCGGTCGTGATGGTCAAGTGGATTAAGGCGTCTTGTACATACCAGTTGCGTGGCATCTGGGAGTATGGGTTCGAGTCACTTCTGGGGTGTGAGTTTTCAGTTGCATATTGTCCTGGGGACCATTCAGGCTTGTTCGCATTTGTGTTCCTCACGTGTGCCCCAAAGAATGAGGTGATTTGGTAAAATGCTATGCCCAAGATTACTATCCGAGTGCCGGCGGTGGGGTGGTTCAAATAGCCTCGGCTATCACCTCATTTTGTCCGGTCGTGATGGTCAAGTGGATTAAGGCGTCTTGTACATACCAGTTGCGTGGCATCTGGGAGTATGGGTTCGAGTCACTTCTGGGGTGTGAGTTTTCAGTTGCATATTGTCCTGGGGACCATTCAGGCTTGTTCGCATTTGTGTTCCTCACGTGTGCCCCAAAGAATGAGGTGATTTGGTAAAATGCTATGCCCAAGATTACTATCCGAGTGCCGGCGGTGGGGTGGTTCAAATAGCCTCGGCTATCACCTCATTTTGTCCGGTCGTGATGGTCAAGTGGATTAAGGCGTCTTGTACATACCAGTTGCGTGGCATCTGGGAGTATGGGTTCGAGTCACTTCTGGGGTGTGAGTTTTCAGTTGCATATTGTCCTGGGGACCATTCAGGCTTGTTCGCATTTGTGTTCCTCACGTGTGCCCCAAAGAATGAGGTGATTTGGTAAAATGCTATGCCCAAGATTACTATCCGAGTGCCGGCGGTGGGGTGGTTCAAATAGCCTCGGCTATCACCTCATTTTGTCCGGTCGTGATGGTCAAGTGGATTAAGGCGTCTTGTACATACCAGTTGCGTGGCATCTGGGAGTATGGGTTCGAGTCACTTCTGGGGTGTGAGTTTTCAGTTGCATATTGTCCTGGGGACCATTCAGGCTTGTTCGCATTTGTGTTCCTCACGTGTGCCCCAAAGAATGAGGTGATTTGGTAAAATGCTATGCCCAAGATTACTATCCGAGTGCCGGCGGTGGGGTGGTTCAAATAGCCTCGGCTATCACCTCATTTTGTCCGGTCGTGATGGTCAAGTGGATTAAGGCGTCTTGTACATACCAGTTGCGTGGCATCTGGGAGTATGGGTTCGAGTCACTTCTGGGGTGTGAGTTTTCAGTTATATATATATATATATATATATATATATATATATATATATATATATATATATATATATATATATATATATATATATATATATATATATATATATATACTAACCTATGCGTTATGTTACAGTGGAGATGGCGGTGGTGGCAGGGGCGGGGCGCTGGGCGGTACAAGCCGCCAGCAACCCATACTTCGACCCACCGGACGCCGTCGACGAAGTCAGGTCCTTCCTTCAGTACAACGATAAACCGGACTTCAACAGCTCCGTGGCTTTCACGATCCCGCTCTTCACCTTCACAATGCCTGGAGCGGGGGACTTTACGGCCATTGGCCTCAGTAGCCAGTCCTTCGGGGTCATGACCTTCTTATCCCTCCTCCTTCTGGGACTCCTGAGTGTGGCTGCCTACAACGCTTACCGAAAGCACCCCTTCGCCAGAGAATTTTCAGATTCAGACGACTTCCTTCTGACGAGGATGGTTCTGGAGTCGTTCTCGGATCTGCCTGGCGTGGTGGATACAAGGGCCTGTGCCAATCTGGGCGTTTGCGGTGCCTATGCCGAGCGAGATAGATACGGAATGATTGCCTGGCCCATCAGATTCCTCGTCCAGTAGGTGTTGCTATAAGTTCTTTGACGCTTAGACTGGTTGGTACAGGTAAGGGCGTGCATTTTACAGGGTCGGCGTTCGGTCCACGGTAGTGCAAGGGATTGGGCAACGTTTCTTCACCTCGTTCTTGTATTCCACATCTTTGTCCTCAAATCCCAGCTCCTTGTCCTCATATGCCAGATCTTTGCCCTCATATCCCAGGTGCTTGTCCTCAAATCCCTGCTCCTTGTCCTCATATCCCAGCTCCTTGTCCTCATATCCCAGCTCCTTGTCCTCCTATCCCAGCTCCTTGTCCTCATATTCCAGCTCCTTGTCCTCATATCCCAGCTCCTTGTCCTCATATTCCAACTCCTTGTCCTCATATCCCAGCTCCTTGTCCTCATATCCCAGCTCCTTGTCCTCATATCCCAGCTCCTTGTCCTCATATCCCAGCTCTTTGTCCTCATATCCTAGCTCCTTGTCCTCAAATCCCAGTTCCTTGTCCTCATACCCCAGCTCCTTGTCCTTATATCCCAGCTCCTTGTCCTCATATCCCAGCTCCTTGTCCTCAACTCCGCCTCTCCTTTTCAAGTGATGAGCAGTCAACCTGCTTTAGCACTTTCTCCAGATAATCACGTAACCTTCACTAGCACTTAGTCTATCTCATATTCCTTCCAAGCGCTCTATAGTCATAGTGGCCTAGTGTTTTCTCCCGATAACTACCCTGATACTGAACGTCGTCCCTGTGGTTCAGCAGACCAATCAATTGAACACAAATTGTTAGAGGGGGAAACAAAATATGTTTGTTTACACTAGAGGGAACAGGATTCGCTAGTTTTTTTTCCAATTCAGTTCGACTCCAAATGATGTAGAGGTTCAGTCGGTGAAGGATGGATGCCCAGATGCCCCACTATGCCCGGGGCTCGAACTATAGTCATCTTTCTGGGCGAAGGGAGGAAATTATCAGGGGGGAAAGCACCAAGCCAGCTATACAGCACTGGGAAGGGGTTATCTTGAGATGATTTCGGGGCTTTTAGTGTCCCCGCGGCCCGGTCCTCGACCAGGCCTCCACCCCCAGGAAGCAGCCCGTGACAGCTGACTAACACCCAGGTACCTATTTTACTGCTAGGTAACAGGGGCATAGGGTGAAAGAAACTCTGGCCATTGTTTCTCGCCGGCGCCTGGGATCGAACCCAGGACCACAGGATCACAAGTCCAGCGTGCTGTCCGCTCGGCCGACCGGCTCCCATGATGATGGAACAGCCTACACGTCGCACGGGAGCCGGTCGGCCGAGCGGACAGCACGCTGGACTTGTGATCCTGTGGTCCTGGGTTCGATCCCAGGCGCCGGCGAGAAACAATGGGCAGAGTTTCTTTCACCCTATGCCCCTGTTACCTAGCAGTAAAATAGGTACCTGAGTGTTAGTCAGCTGTCACGGGCTGCTTCCTGGGGGTGGAGGCCTGGTCGAGGACCGGGCCGCGGGGACACTAAAGCCCCGAAATGATCTCAAGATAACACGTGAACAATGCACTGTTAATCTCAGCTTAAAAGTACCGTAGAGATGAACCCTTCAAACGTGCATACCCTCACGTGCTGCCGACGACGTGCTGAGTACGTTAACCCAATCACGTACACGTTAATGCCTACTGGAACCCCCCCCCCCCCTGTACGTGCGCACGTGGGATCTCAAGGTCACCACCACAACATAGCTGTAAAAGGGGACGGTACGCCCTCTCACCGTACGTGCCTGTACGGTGCAGTGGGGTACAGGTTGTGCTCGGCCGTACCTGGGTACCTCTTCACGTACCTGAAGAGGGTCGAGGGGCGTGTGAAGAAGCGCTGGCCTCGTCTCAGCGCCGGGAAGGTTAAGGACAGGCCAGTTCACTCCTCCATCAACCTGCTCTCGCACAAGACAGCACATATTTGACTTATTACTTATAGTCACTATTTCGCTTATAAATATGTATATATGTGATATACTGCAAGCCATATTTTTTTCAAGGCACTAACTTTTCCTCTCAGTTTCATTAAACAATAGAGATTTTATACAAAATTTGACAATATCCTGAGTTACTTTACAATTTATTTCTATATTTTAGTTTTGTTTTATTATTTTTATAAAACTGTAATATCAAGATAGGTAAAGGTTCAGTACTAATTGTAATATCTTAACATACTAAGAAGGTTAGGTTAGGTTGTGGTTTTCTATTCAGCTTTTCAAGGTAAACTCAAATATTCACAATAAATTATTATGTCACATATGCACTTATTCATAAGCAAGATATTGACTATAAGCAAGTGCGAGAACGGGTTGCCTCCATCCCTGTTGGCATTTGTGTTGCTCACGTGACCTCGCAAAGTGAGGTGATTTGATGAAATTATGCCCAACATTACCCTCAAAGTGCCGTCGGGGCGGTGGGGAAATAGCCTCGGCTACCATCGTCTTTTGTACGGTCACTGATGGTCGAGTGGTTAAGGTAGCATATACCCCAGTTGCATTGTGCTCCTGGCGGTCTGGGTTCGAGTCACTTCTGGGGTGTAGTAGGCATCCATCAGTCTCAGGAGACAATGGAGCTGCTAAGATACTGTCTAAGATACGAGATTGTCTAAGACATGGCGAGTAAAACTTGTAGACGCAGCAGAAACAAATATTTATATATAAAACACTTTAAACATGTAATATGAAGCGAAGGAACTAGGCTAATCACCTAGTTCAGACCTATTCTGATAAGAACGAAGCAGAATATCATATATTAACAGGATCTATAGCAAGTCCTTCCTATTGTCTCGATTATCTAGGAATATTCCTAGAATATTCCTAGATATCTAGGAATATTCCTAGAATATTCCTAGATATCTAGGAATATTCCTAGAATATTCCTAGATATCTAGGAATATTCCTAGAAATATTCCTAGATATTTAGGAATATTCCCAGATAATCGAGCCAATAGGAAGTACTTGAATACTGACATTATGGGAAACAGAATAAGGGGAAGGAGTAGTCATCAGTATGACTCTTAACTACCCAACAACCGTCTTACAGAATGTTGTTTCCTCCCCCACTACAGGTACTCCCCGGACACACCTGAAGACCTGTTGACGGAGTTCCAGAAGGCGGCGAGGGACGGGCAGGTGGACGGGCAGGTGGACGAGCAGGTGGACGGGCAGGTAGACGGGCAGGTGGACGGGCAGGTCTGCCGGTACAAGTACCCTTGTTTCATGCAACCTCTCGACCACCTTCTCTACTTATATAACTACTGGTACGGCGGCCTGTAGATGGCTGTCCACCAGGACGGGAGACAGCGCTGACGACAGGACTGTCCACCACGGCGGGAGACAGCGCTGACGACAGAGCTATCCACCACGGCGGGAGACAGCGCTGACGACAGAGCTATCCACCACGGCGGGAGACAGCGCTGACGACAGAGCTATCCACCACGGCGGGAGACAGCGCTGACGACAGAACTATCCACCACGGCGGGAGACAGCGCTGACGACAGAACTATCCACCACGGCGGGAGACAGCGCTGACGACAGAACTATCCACCACGGCGGGAGACAGCGCTGACGACAGAGCTATCCACCACGGCGGGAGACAGCGCTGACGACAGAACTATCCACCACGGCGGGAGACAGGACTATCCACCACGACGGGAGACAGGACTATCCACCACGACGGGAGACAGCGCTGACGGCAGAACTATCCACCACGAGTCTGCTATGGTCCATCACGGCTCAGTAACCGACAACGAACTCTTCCTCTGGGTTATGTCACGTCTTATACACGAATTAAACTTGAAATCTTCTCCCTCTGCACTTACGAGTCCCTTGAACCGGCTCGGGGGAGATAGAAATAGCCTAAGCTACTCTATCCCTTTGTGATGTATTTCTTTCTTGTCTCAATAAACATACTTGAACTTGATCCTGTCTTTACAAAGCTTCGAAAATGAATATGTAGTCAGATATTTATCTTTAATCAAGTGATTAAACGAGAGAAGCGTCACTATGATTGGCTGAATGAGTTGAAAGTCTCTTCAATTATTATTGAAACTGAAAATTATAATAATGCCTTAATGATAATAAAGTGTATATCTCTAATATATATATATATATATATATATATATATATATATATATATATATATATATATATATATATATATATATATATATATTTGTCTGTTTCATTTTATTCTCGTGTTCAAGGGTGATATGTAACTATATTGTGACTCACACACGAGAGGGGTCTGATAGCTGAGTGGACAGCGCTCTGTTCTCGTAATCCTAGCGTCCGGGTTCGATCCCCGGTGATGGCAGAAACAAAAGGGGGTGAGGTTTCTTTCACCCTGGTGCATCTGTTACCTAGCAGTAAATAGGTACCTGGGAGTTAGACAGCTGCTACGGGCTGCTTCCTGGTGTGTGTGTGTGGAAAAAAATAGATAGTAACAGTTGATTGATTGACAGTTGAGAGGCGGGTCGAAAGAACAGAGCTCGACCCCCGCAAGCACAACTAGGTGAATACAACTAGGTGAACACACGAGAAATGATTGATTTCAGTACAATTTGCAAAATTTGTTAAGTAAATTTCTCACTATTAGCTTCTCTGCACCCAGCCACTTGGGCTGGACGGTAGAGCGACGATCTCGCTTCATGCAGGTCGGCGTTCAATCCCCGACCGTCCACAAGTGGTTGGGGCACCATTCCTTCCCTCCGTCCCATCCCAAATCCTTATCCTAACCCCTTCCCAGTGCTATATAGTCGTAAATGGCTTGACGCTTTCCCCTGATAATAAAAAATAGCTTCTCTGCATACTGCCCCCTCAAGAATATCTGACCAAACAATCGATGCAACATATCACAACCAGATAACAGATATTCAGAACAATATTTTTTTTTTTTTTTTTTTTTTTGAGATATATACAAGAGTTGTTACATTCTTGTACAGCCACTAGTACGCGTAGCGTTTCGGGCAAGTCCTTAATCCTATGGACCCTGGAATACGATCCCCTGCCGCGAAGAATCGTTTTTTCATCCAAGTACACATTTTACTGTTGCGTTAAACAGAGGCTACAGTTAAGGAATTGCGCCCAGTAAATCCTCCCCGGCCAGGATACGAACCCATGACATAGCGCTCGCGGAACGCCAGGCGAGTGTCTTACCACTACACCACGGAGACTGCTCCGTGGTGTATATATCGACTCTCTAATCACCCGAAATATGCACAATTATACAAAGCATCTTATCTGAAGGTTATCAAAACCTGCATTAACTCCAACGTCTTAAAAAAATGAGTCTTGAGTTCTAGAAAATAACAGGAAAGCATCCTACCTTTCCGAGGTGAGGACAGTGGGCTCAGCCAATGACTGAGGAGAATCTCTGCATGTGACGTCACGCCCGTGACGTCATACCCGTGACGTCAGGCCTGTGACGTCACGCCTGACCGGCAGATCTTGTACGCTGTCAACCGTTTAACGGCTTCCGCCAAATTTCAAATGTCGTTCTAGAACCTTCTCGAAGCTTCCCCGTTCCTGCTTCAATATTAGGCCTCCAAAACCTAGATCTAGCAAAAGCGATTGGGCTTCCTATTGATATATCCTCACATAGAGGATAGAACTGATTTTTAGAGTCATTTCGTGACAAAGTTCTGCATTCTAGCGGTACACTAGGAGGAGTACTGCTACGGGATCACCATAGCCCGTGCTACTTGTAACTGATGTTCCCAATAGCTGAATCTTAAACAACAACAACATACAAGCCAATGAGAGAGCTCAACGAGCTAGAGTACCTCATGCTAGAGTACTAGACGCCAGTTATTACAACATTTAAGTACTGCAATTGAGTACCGTTAAACCCCCATGTAAATCCACTCCCATGGCACGTGTAAGGCATTATAATACCCCTCCCCCCCCCAAGCTCGGTACATAACCGCCTTTTGCAGCCCAGTACACACCTGAAGCCTGCACCACACACCTGAAGCCTGCACCACACACCTGAAGCCTGCACCACACACCTGAAGCCTGCACCACACACCTGTAAACACCTACATCATTCCTGCCGCGTCCAGGTGTATAACAGGACAACCCTGATTCATGCCAGGTTTGACGTCAGCGTATAATACATGTAATACGGGAGTATATACATGTGTAATACGGGATTCTATACATGTGTAATACGGGATTCTATACATGTGTAATACGGGACTGTATACATGTATAATACGGGAGTATATACATGTGTAATACGGGATTCTATACGCGTGTAATACGGGATTCTATACGCGTGTAATACGGGATTCTATACATGTATAATACGGGAGAACAAAATCCGGATGAACGTACATCAATAACAGTTATCGTGGCAATAATGTTATATTGATATCTTGGAAGACGATTAGTTATCAGAGCTACAATAACTAATAAGAACTTTGTATTTGGTCTAATCCTTTGGGTTTCTAATCTAATCTAATCTAATCTAATCCATCGTTTCTCCCCCCCCCCAAGCGGGCAGGATTACACCTAAATCCCCAGGTTCAAGTTAAAAGTTAAAATGGATTTATTTATATGGTGTAAATCCATCTTTCCCTGTCACTGCACCACCTTAGTCCCCCCCCCCTCGCCTGGAAGGATATAGCCCAACCTGTTCTCTTGAAAATAACGTCATTTTTGGCTCGTGTGCGCTATGGCCAAAAGTGGACGTAATTTGAAATGAAATCGACTCACAAAAGTGACGTACTGTCGCGTTTTCTCTTTGAGTCGTCCGGCCTACTCGGACACGTTAGGAGAGGAAACTTTCAATTAACGTTTTTCATAAAGTTTTGAAACTTTATGAGAATTTCCTGCCCACCTAACCTCAACATCAGAACATCACAACTAAGAATTGTTGTATTTACACACCAGAACACAAGACCTGGTTCAATCCCCCAAGTTTGCTTACAAGACTTAGGGAGGGAATATCGAAGTCATGACGACTAATAATTCCTGCTGGCAAGTCGGTCAATACATTAACTTGACAGTCGTGTTCCTATGTAGTTGACATTCTTGACATCAGAGGTGTTGATGAAGGAAGATGATGTTGTCGTCGTCGATGACTGTTGAAGGTTATCATCGACGTCAATGTTGATGAATCACCTGTGACCAGCCAGAAGTCTGGCGTTGACCACCTGTCATCAGTCACTGCAAGTGCAACTACTTAAGGGAGCACTCATCAACTAGCAATCATCAACTAGCAATCATCAACGATATATCGTCAACTAATACTCATTAACGAGCACTCATCAACTGGCACTCATCAACCAGCAATTATCAACTAATACTCATCAACGAGCACTCATCAACTGTCACTCATCAACGAACAATCATCAACGAACAATCATCAACGAACAATCATCAACGAGCACTCATCAACGAGCACTCATCAACGAGCACTCATCAACGAGCTCTCATCAACGAGCACTCATCAACGAGCACTCACCAACGAGCACTCACCAACGAGCACTCATCACCGAGCGCTCATCAACGAGCACTCATCAACGAGCACTCATCAACGAGCACTCATCAACGAGCACTCATCAACTAGCAATCATCGACGAGCAATCATCAACTACCAATCATCAACGAGAAATCATCAACGAGAAGTCATCAACTAGCACTCATCAACGAGCACTCATCAACGAGCACTCATCAACGAGCAATCATCAACGATCACTCATCAACGAGCGATCATCAACAAGGACTCATCAACGAGCAATCATCAACGAGCAATCATCGACGAGCAATCATCAACTACCAATCATCAACGAGCAATCATCAACGAGCAATCATCAACGAGCAATCATCAACTAGCACTCATCAACGAGCACTCATCAACGAGCACTCATCAACAAGCACTCATCAACGAGCACTCATTAACGAGCACGAGCACTCATCAACACTCATCAATCAATCAAAGTACTCATCAACTAGCACTCATCAACTGACATTCAACAACGAGCAATCATCAACGAGCACTCATCAACGAGCACTCATCAACGAGCACTCATCAACGAGCACTCATCAACGAGCACTCACCAACGAGCACTCATCAACGAGCACTCATCAACGAGCACTCATCAACGAGCAATCATCAACGAGCACTCATCAACTGGCACTCATCAACGAGCACTCATCAACGAGCACTCATCAACGAGCAATCATCAACAAGGACTCACCAACGAGCACTCATCAACTAGCACTCATCAACTAGCACTCATCAACGAGGACTCATCAACGAGCACTCATCAACGAGCACTCATCAACGAGCACTCATCAACGAGCAATCATCAGCAAGCATTCATCAACAAGGACTCACCAACGAGCACTCATCAACTGGCACTCACATCAACGAGCACTCATCAACGAGCACTCATCAACGAGCACTCATCAACGAGCACTCATCAACGAGCACTCATCAACGAGCACTCATCAACGAGCACTCATCAACGAGCACTCATCAACGAGCACTCATCAACAAGGACTCATCAACGAGCACTCATCAACGAGCACTCATCAACAAGGACTCATCAACGAGCACTCATCAACGAGCGCTCATCAACGAGCGCTCATCAACGAGCACTCATCAACGCGCGCTCATCAACGAGCAATCATCAACGAGCACTCATCAACGAGCACTCATCAACAAGGACTCATCAACGAGCACTCATCAACGAGCACTCATCAACGAGCAATCATCAACGAGCACTCATCAACGAGCACTCATCAACGAGCACTCACCAACGAGCACTCACCAACGAGCACTCATCAACGAGGACTCATCAACGAGCACTCATCAACGAGCTCTCATCAACGAGCACTCATCAACGAGCACTCATCAACGAGCACTCATCAACGAGCACTCATCAACGAGCACTCACCAACGAGCACTCATCAACGAGCACTCATCAACGAGCACTCATCAACGAGCACTCACCAACGAGCACTCACCAACGAGCACTCATCACCGAGCGCTCATCAACGAGCACTCATCAACGAGCACTCATCAACGAGCACTCACTATGAAGACATTGACGACATTCCTCTCTTTCCTGTCGTTCTGTTTGGCATCTGAATTCAAACGAGCAAATTGGGCGATTTTCACGTATCTTGCCTTATACAGCGAGCTGTATTTTCTAGTATATTGTATTTTCTAGTGTATTGTAAATGCTTGTTCGCATTTGTGTTCCTCACGTGTGCCCCAAAGAATGAGGTGATTTGATAAAATGCTATGCCCAAGATTACCATCCGAGTGCCGGCGGGGAAGTGGTTCAAATAGCTTCGGCTATCACTTCCTTATGTCCGGTCGTGATGGTCAAGCGGATTAAGGCGTCCTGTACATACCAGTTGCGTTGCTCCTGGCAGTATAGGTTCGAGTCACTTCTGGGGTGTGAGTTTTCAGTTGCATATAGTCCTGGGGACCAGTCAGGCTTGTTCGCATATTGTATTTTATTAAATAAAGATAATAAAAAAGTTTATCTTGAAAGGATCGACTTTCTGTCGATAATGTCACTCAGGATCTTAATTTACATATTATGGGCCGTTGGAAACCTGTTCCCATTGAACAGGTAGTTAGGGCCAGTAGCGGGCCACTCGGCCAGTCAGGGCCAGCAGAGGGCCACTCGGCCAGTCAGGGCCAGCAGAGGGACACTCGGCCAGTCAGGGCCAGCAGAGGGACACTCGGCCAGTCAGGGCCAGCAGAGGGACACTCGGCCAGTCAGGGCCAGCAGAGGGTCACTCGGCCAGTCAGGGCCAGCAGAGGGTCACTCGGCCAGTCAGGGCCAGTCAGGGCCAGCAGAGGGTCACTCGGCCAGTCAGGGCCAGCAGAGGGCCACTCGGCCAGTCAGGGCCAGCAGAGGGCCACTCGGCCAGTCAGGGCCAGCAGAGGGTCACTCGGCCAGACAGGGCCAGCAGAGGGTCACTCGGCCAGTCAGGGCCAGCAGAGGGTCACTCGGCCAGTCAGGGCCAGCAGAGGGTCACTCGGCCAGTCAGGGCCAGTCAGGGCCAGCAGAGGGTCACTCGGCCAGTCAGGGCCAGCAGAGGGCCACTCGGCCAGTCAGGGCCAGCAGAGGGCCACTCGGCCAGTCAGGGCCAGCAGAGGGTCACTCGGCCAGTCAGGGCCAACAGAGGGACACTCGGCCAGTCAGGACCAGCAGAGGGACACTCGGCCAGTCAGGGACAGCAGAGGGACACTCGGCCAGTCAGGGCCAGCAGAGGGACACTCGGCCAGTCAGGGCCAGCAGAGGGTCACTCGGGGCAGTCAGGGCCAGCAGAGGGGCACTCGGCCAGTTAGGGCCAGCAGAGGGACACTTAGCCAGTCAGGGCCAGCAGAGGGACACTCGGCCAGTCAGGGCCAGCAGAGGGACACTCGGCCAGTCAGGGCCAGCAGAGGGTCACTCGGCCAGTCAGGGCCAGCAGAGGGTCACTCGGCCAGTCAGGGCCAGCAGAGGGTCACTCGGGGCAGTCAGGGCCAGCAGAGGGTCACTCGGCCAGTCAGGGCCAGCAGAGGGACACTCGGCCAGTCAGGGCCAGCAGAGGGGCACTCGGCCAGTTAAGGTCAGCAGAGGGACACTTAGCCAGTCAGGGCCAGCAGAGGGTCACTCGGCCAGTTAGGGCCAGCAGAGGGACACTCGGCCAGTCAGGGCCAGCAGAGGGACACTCGGCCAGTTAGGGCCAGCAGAGGGACACTTAGCCAGTCAGGGCCAGCAGAGGGGCACTCGGCCAATCAGGGCCAGCAGAGGGGCACTCGGCCAGTCAGGGCCAGCAGAGGGACACTCGGCCAGTTAGGGCCAGCAGAGGGACACTTAGCCAGTCAGGGCCAGCAGAGGGACACTCGGCCAGTCAGGGCCAGCAGAGAGTCACTCGGCCAGTTAGGGCCAGCAGAGGGGCACTCGGCCAGTTAGGGCCAGCAGAGGGACACTTAGCCAGTCAGAGCCAGCAGAGGGACACTCGGCCAGTCAGGGCCAGCAGAGGGGCACTCGGCCAGTCAGGGCCAGCAGAGGGGCACTCGGCCAGTTAGGGCCAGCAGAGGGGCACTCGGCCAGTTAGGGCCAGCAGAGGGTCACTCGGCCAGTCAGGGCCAGCAGAGGGTCACTCGGCCAGTCAGGGCCAGCAGAGGATCACTCGGCCAGTCAGGGCCAGCAGAGGGTCACTCGGCCAGTCAGGGCCAGCAGAGGGTCACTCGGCCAGTCAGGGCCAGCAGAGGGTCACTCGGCCAGTCAGGGCCAGCAGAGGGTCACTCGGCCAGTCAGGGCCAGCAGAGGGTCACTCGGGGCAGTCAGGGCCAGCAGAGGGTCACTCGGCCAGTCAGGGCCAACAGAGGGTCACTCGGCCAGTCAGGGCCAGCAGAGGGTCACTCGGGGCAGTCAGGGCCAGCAGAGGGTCACTCGGCCAGTCAGGGCCAGCAGAGGGTCACTCGGCCAGTCAGGGCCAGCAGAGGGTCACTCGGCCAGTCAGGGCCAGCAGAGGGTCACTCGGCCAGTCAGGGTCAGCAGAGGGACACTCGGCCAGTCAGGGCCAACAACGGGACACTCGGTCAATCAGGGCCAACAACGGGTCAGTCGGCCAATCAGGGCCAACAACGGGACACTCGGCCAATCAGGGCCAACAACGGGACACTCGGCCAATCAGGGCCAGCAGAGGGACACTCGGCCAGTCAGGGCCAGCAGAGGAACACTCGGCCAGTCAGGGCCAACAACGGGTCACTCGGCCAATCAGGGCCAACAACGGGACACTCGGCCAATCAGGGCCAACAACGGGACACTCGGCCAATCAGGGCCAGCAGAGGGACACTCGGCCAGTCAGGGCCAGCAGAGGAACACTCGGCCAGTCAGGGCCAACAACGGGTCACTCGGCCAATCAGGGCCAACAACGGGACACTCGGCCAATCAGGGCCAACAACGGGACACTCGGCCAGTCAGGGCCAGCAGAGGGACACTCGGCCAGTCAGGGCCAACAGAGGAACACTCGGCCAGTTAGGGCCAACAACGGGACACTCGGCCAATCAGGGCCAGCAGAGGGACACTCGGCCAATCAGGGCCAACAGAAGGACACTCGGCCAATCAGGGCCAACAGAAGGACACTCGGCCAATCAGGGCCAACAACGGGACACTCCGACACCTCGTGTGAAATAACCAATCGTCCTGCTCTTGCGAAACGACTTTGGTCGAGTAATTGGTACACTGTGTTCATGCTTGTTCACTGAGAAGCGGTCAACCACCGCGAAATGTATCCTGAATGATCTGGATTCAAGTGGAATTATTGGTTCCTCCTGTTCCACCGTCTTCTGACTTCTGGGGAGATGGAAAGGAAGGGAAAGAGGTAAGAAAAGCGGTGGAAAGTATATGGAAGAGAAGGTAGTAGAGGCAGGATCTGGGAAAAATTGTGAATTAGGAAGGGAAAGGATAGAAAAGTTGGTAGGGATGTGAACTGGATGGTACGAAACAGGGATAGGGGAGGTGGCAGCAAAGGGAAAGGGGTAGGGAAGAGATGGGATGGGTAAGGGGAGAGATGGGATGGGTATGGGTAGGTGGGGGAGGGAGGGTGGTAGGGGGACAGATTTCCACACTCCAGGATTGAGACAAGGTTGAAGATGATCACCCACACCCAGTGTGTAGTGGACTTGAGTGGTGAGTGTTGCACCTCTTGTGTCCTGGTGAACCTGTGACTCATCCTTGAATATCCAGGTGAGTAAGTACTCATGATGTTAGAGGTTCAGGTGGACGGGACTCTGAACTCAATAGGCCGGTGAGTAACTAGTCACGAGATGATAGGTTAGCAGTGATTGTACTTGTGTTAATTTGTTTTTGTGTGTTAAATATTGGCACTACAAGTTTACTGTGATGTCTGTATGTGGCTTGTCCCCTGTGTACTCATCTAGTTGTGCTTGCGGTGGTTGAGCTCTGGCTCTTTGGTCCCGCCTCTCAACAATCAACTGGTGTACAGGTTCCTGAGCCTATTGGGCTCTATCATATCTACACTTGAAACTGTGTATGGAGTCAGCCTCCACCACATCACTGCCTAATGCATTCCATTTGTCTACTCTGACACTGAAGAAAATATTATAATGCCTCTATGGCTCATTTGGGCACTCAGTTTCCACCTGTGTCCCCTAGTGCGTGTGCCCCTTTTGTTCAATAGTCTATCTTTATCTACCCTAGCAGTTCCTTTGAGAAGCTTGTATGTGGTGATCAGGCCCCTCCTAATTCTTCTGTCTTCCAGCGACGTGAGGTTTAATTCCCGTAGTCTCTCCTCGTAGCTCATACCTCTCAGCTGGGGCACTAGTCTCATGGCAAACCTTTGAACCTTTCCCAGTTTAGTCTTATGCTTGACTTGGTATGGACTCCATGCTGGAGCCGCATACTCCAGGATTGGTCTGACATATGTGGTGTACAAAGCTCTGAATTATTTCTTACACAAGTTTCTAAATGCCGTTCTTATGTTAGCCAACCTGGCATATGCTGCTGATGTTATCCTCATGATATGAGCATCAGGGGACAGATCTGGCGTGATATCAACCCCCAGGTCTTTCTCTCTCTCAGACTCTTGAAGTATTTCATCTCCCAAATTACACTTTGTATCTGGTGTCCTGCTCCCTACACCTGTCTTCATTACATTACATTTGCTTGGGTTAAACTCTAACAGCCATTTGTTCGACCATTCCTGCAGCTTGTCCAGGTCTTCTTGAAGCCTCAAGCTGTTCTCCTCTGTCTTAATCCTTCTCATAATTTTGGCATCGTCAGCAAACATTGAGAGGAATGAGTCTATACCCTCTGGGAGATCATTTACGTATATCAGAAACAGGATAGGTACGAGTACAGAGCCCTGTGGGACTCCACTGGTGACGTCACGCCAATCTGAGGTCTCACCCCTCACCGTAACTCTCTGCTTCCTATTGCTTAGGTACTCCCATATCCACTGGAGCGCCCTACCAGTTACTCCTGCCTGTTTCTCCAGCTTATGCATCAACCTTTTATGGGGTACTGTGTCAAAGGCTTTCCGACAGTCCAAAAAATGCAGTTCGCCCATCCTTCTTTTTTTTTTTTTTTTTTTTTTTTTTGAATCACGCCGGCGCTGGGAATCGAACCCGGGCCACAGGATTACGTGACCAGCGTGCTATCCACACAGCCACCGGCGCCCCCATGGCCCCCCCGCCCCCCCTGTGTACTCACCTAGTTGTACTCACCTAGTTGTGTCTGCAGGATCGAGCATCGACTCTTGGATCCCGCCTTTCGAGCATCGGTTGTTTACAGCAATGACTCCTGTCCCATTTCCCTATCATACCTGGTTTTAAAATTATGAATAGTATTTGCTTCCACAACCTGTTCCTGAAGTGCATTCCATTTCCCCACTACTCTCACGCTAAAAGAAAACTTCCTAACATCTCTGTGACTCATCTGAGTTTCAAGCTTCCATCCATGTCCTCTCGTTCTGTTACTATTCCGTGTGAACATTTCGTCTATGTCCACTCTGTCAATTCCTCTGAGTATCTTAAACGTTCCTATCATGTCCCCCCTCTCCCTTCTTCTTTCTAGTGTCGTAAGGCACAGTTCCCTCAGGCGCTCTTCATACCCCATCCCTCGTAGCTCTGGGACGAGTCTCGTTGCAAACCTCTGAACCTTTTCCAGTTTCATTATATGCTTCTTCAGATGGGGACTCCATGATGAGGCGGCATACTCTAAGACTGGCCTTACGTAGGCAGTGTAAAGCGCCCTAAATGCCTCCTTACTTAGGTTTCTGAATGATGTTCTAACTTTTGCCAGTGTAGAGTACGCTGCTGTCGTTATCCTATTAATATGTGCCTCAGGAGATAGATTAGGTGTTACGTCCACCCCCAGGTCTCTTTCACGCGTCGTTACAGGTAGGCTGTTCCCCTTCATTGTGTACTGTCCCTTTGGTCTCCTATCTCCTAGTCCCATTTCCATAACTTTACATTTGCTCGTGTTGAATTCTAGTAGCCATTTCTCTGACCATCTCTGCAATCTGTTCAGGTCCTCTTGGAGGATCCTGCAATCCTCATCTGTCACAACTCTTCTCATCAACTTTGCATCATCCGCAAACATCGACATGTAGGACTCTACGCCTGTAAACATGTCGTTAACATATACAAGAAATAGAATTGGTCCCAGCACCGATCCTTGTGGTACTCCACTTGTTACTGTTCGCCAGTCCGACTTCTCGCCCCTTACCGTAACTCTTTGGCTCCTTCCTGTTAGGTAGTTCCTTATCCATTCTAGGACCTTTCCCCCCACCCCCGCCTGCCTCTCGAGCTTGAACAGCAGTCTCATGTGCGGTACTGTATCAAAGGCTTTTTGGCAGTCCAGAAATATGCAGTCTGCCCAACCATCTCTGTCCTGTCTTATCCTCGTTATTTTATCATAGAATTCCAGAAGGTTTGTTAGGCACGATTTCCCTGTCCAGAACCCATGTTGATGTTTGTTCACAAACCTAATGTTCTCCAGGTGTGCAACCAGTCGTAGCCTAATTATTCTTTCCAGTATTTTACAGGGGATGCTTGTCAGTGATACAGGTCTGTAGTTAAGTGCCTCCTCCCTATCTCCTTTCTTGAAGATCGGCACGACATTTGCCTTCTTCCAGCAACTGGGCAATTCTCCTGACATAAGTGACTCATTAAGGATCATTGCCAGAGGCACGCTGAGGGCCTGTGCTGCTTCTTTTAGTATCCACGGTGATACTTTGTCTGGTCCAACTGCTTTAGTTGCATCTAGAGTTGTCAACTGTTTCATTACCTCCTCTGCTGTCACCTCTATATCTGATAGTCTTTCATCTAGGGTAACCCCTTCCAACAATGGGAGCTGCTCAGGCTCGGTAGTGAACACTCCATGGAAACTGGCATTCAGTGCTTCGCAGATTTCCTTGTCACTTTCAGTATATGCCCCCTCTGTCTTCCTTAGTCTTGTCACTTGGTCGTTCACCGACATTTTCTTCTTATATGACTGTGTAGTAACTTAGGTTGTTTTTTCGCTTTGATTGCAATATCGTTCTCATAGTCCCTTTCCGATGTTCGTCTTATGTTAATGTAATCGTTCCTAGCTCTGTTGTATCTGCTTCTGTTGTCCTCTGTTCTTTGTCTTCTGTACTTCCTCCACTCCCGCCTGCTGGCCATTTTTGCTTCCTGACACTGTCTATTAAACCATGGGTTATTATATTCCTTCTTATTTTTTCCCTTTACCGTTGGTATAAATCTCTCTTCGGCCTCCTGGCATTTCTGTATGACTAGGTCCATCATATCTTGGACTGTTTTTCCTCTAATTTCTTCCTCCCACTGCACTTCACCCAGATAGTCCCTTATCCTCATATAGTCCCCTTTCCTGTAGTCAGCTCTCCTTTCCCAGATCTCTTGTCCCATGGTCATAAGTTTGAATTCCATCATGTAGTCAAAGACTAGGACACAATGGTCACTGGCCCCTAGAGGTATTTCATGCTCTAAATTCTCGATATCTTCTACGTTCTGGGTGAAAATCAGGTCTAATAGGCTCGGTGCATCTCCTCCTCTTTCCCTTGTGTCTTCCTTCACATGTTGTGTCAGGAAATTCCTGTCTATAACATCTACTAATTTTGCTCCCCACGTTTCGTCCCCTCCATGGGGATTCTTTGATTCCCAATTTATCTCTCCATGATTTAGGTCCCCCATGATCAGCAGCTTCGCTCTCATTCTGTGGGCTAGTGTTGCTGCCTTCTGCAGTTCATCTATACATGCTTTGTTGTTGTCATCATACTCCTGCCTGGGTCTTCTACTGTTTGGTGGGGGATTGTAGATTACCAAGATCACAATCTTCCTCCCATCTACTGTCAGAGTTCCATGTATGAAGCTTGTGCACTCATTGGTAACTCGATTTCCCAGGTTTTCAAACTTCCATTTCCGCTTTATTAGGAGTGCTACTCCCCCTCCCTGTCTCTGTGTCCTCTCTTTTCGTATCACCTGGTACCCTTCAGGAAAGATTGCATCTGAGATCATGTCATTAATTTTAGTTTCCACAATTGCAACTATATCAGGATCTGCTTCACTCACTCTTTCTTTTATCTCTTCTGCTTTATTAGATACCCCATCAGCATTGGTGTACCAAACCTTGAGATTCTTCATGGAAACTCTTGTACCAGAGTTCTCCCTTTCTCTGGGGGTCTGGGGGGATCTGGGGGATGTCTGGGGGGTGACTGGGGGCAGAGGGGATCTGGGGGATCTGGGGGTGTCTGGGGGATGACTGGGGGCGGGGAGGGTCCGGGGGATGTCCGGGGGGATCCAGGGGGTGTCTGGGGGGGTCTGGGGGGTGTATGGGGGGTGAAAGAGTTCAGGAGGGGTGCTTGGGGGGCTACTGGGGGCTGGGCTTCTAGGAAGGTAGGTAGGAGGGTCTGGGGTAGGGCCTGGGTAGGTAGGTCTGGAGTAGGAAGGGCATACTGGGTCTGAAGATTAGGGAGGGCATAGAGGGGTTGGGAGATAGCGTAAGGTTGGGAGACAGATAGAGGTTGAGAGATTGGGAGGGGGAAGGATAGAGGGGGTGGGGGGGACCTCCCACCTCCCTCGCAAGGGTGGGGGGTCACATGGAAGGAGAGGGGATGAGGAGGGGTGAGGGCTGGGTAGGCTTTGGGTGTTGAGGGGATGAGGTCTGGGTGGGTTCTTGGGGTTGAGGGGATGAGGTCTGGATGGGTTTTGGGGGATGAGGGGATG